GCACCGTCGCAAGCCTCGGACTGGCCTTCCCGTCACAGCACGGAGCTGCCGCCCTGGGCCGCTGGCCCAGCCTGGCCGACAGGAGCGCCGAGGACTGGGACAACTTTGCCTTTCCTCTCCGCTGCGAGCCGCTGGGCCGCCGGGCCGCAGGCGCTCACAGGTGCTCACGTGTTCTTATGCGCAGCTCCCCCCCCTACTGCCCTTTACTGCGCTGGGGAGAACCTCCGTGCTTGTAGAAGCGGCTTTATCGCATGACCTCTTAAATACAGCATGTGTGTTGGTAACAGAGGTCCCTCCCTCCTCATTTTAATACTGAGTGATGCTGAATTCCACTTTTAACCAAAGGCTAAACCATAAATAGTTCTTGAAGGAAAAAACATCTGTGGTTCGTTTAATTCCATATGGTTATTAGAGACAGACTCTTCAGTTTAGGAAAATTATATGATTTTTTATTCCTTCCAAAAGCGTCTCCACCAGCACGGTCAGTGAGACTCTGCAGTGATGGGAATGCTCGCCTGTGCCGTCCCCTGGGGTCGGCACATGCGCCTAAATGTGCAGCTGGGCAGCTGCATTTTTATTTAGCTTTAGTTAAATAACACTCGTGGCTCGTGGAAATCACAGAGGTAGGACAGACTACTGCTTACCTAAAAAGGACCGGTGGTAGAAAGTGGTGGCAGCCTTGTTAATCACAGCTAAGTCAGGAAGCATCTCTTTAAACCTTACAGACTTCTGTTTCACATGTTAAAATTACTGCCGCTCGTCGTGGCTCTCGGGGTCGCAGTGCGCTGCTTCCCTCCCCGGCACTGTGTCAGTCAGGCTCTTGGGGTCTCTGTTCCAGTGTGACTGAAGACTGCCTGGTCCCCATATGCTGTGGGCTGTACGAACTCTTGAGCGGGGTCCTTCTCATCCTGCCTGACGCCATGCTGGAAGACGTGATGGACAAGCTCATTCAAGCAGACGCGCTCTTAGTCCTTGTTAACCACCCGTCACCTGCCATACAGCGAGGAGTTATTAAAGTAAGGGCAGCTCCTGAATATGTTGTTTTAATTTGGAAAAATAAATATATGTGTAACTTAAAATTTGGGTATACATTTTAAAATAGACCTAAAGCTTTTTTATTCTTAACCCTAATGAACTGATACAGTTTGTTACCTTTTACTCATTTTTTATGTGGAGTATCATCCAATTCAGCTCTCCTCCATATATTGATTCAGAACAACGTGTTCTTTTTTTTTAAATTACTGAACCATATACTTAATTTTTTATTATTATTATCTAATGGAGGGACTGGGGATTGAGCCCAGGACCTCGTGCATGCTAAGCATGTGCTCTACCACTGAGCTATACCTACCCCCCAACTCATGTCAATGTGTTTTTTGCATCTACTGATTACAAGGAACACATAGTTCATTAGGATCCTCTCCTGCAGTGTAGTGTCATCAAATCTTAGACATTTACTTCAGGTTTCAGCCCCGGTGTCACCTTCTCAAAGAGGCTTTCCCTGACCACCTCGCAGAACGGCTTCCTTCTGGCCCTGCTCCTCGTTTATTCTGTAGTAGCATCCTAGCCAAGTCTTGTAATTATCTCTTAAATTATTTGTGTACTTGTTATTTTAATCTCCCACACTGAAATATAAACTCTGAGAGTAAGAATCTTGTGTCTAATATATAAAAGGTCCTAAGTATATTGTTGAATGAATAAATGTTTAATATGAATAGTTTTCATTAGAAAATGACATAATACTGAAATGGCCTTTTAAAGATTCTCATTTTCTAGTTTGTCTTGATGTAGGGTATTGTTTAATCCCTTGCAGTTCAACCCAGTATTTACTTAGCTTCCATGTCATTATGCAAAACACTGGGCTTGTTGCTATGTGGGATAATATAAGCCCCTGCATTCAAGCGTTTATAGTCTAGTCAAGGAGGGAGACGTGTACCCAGCTAAGTAAAATGTAAGGGCTTCTGTGACCAGTGCTTCAGTGGGAGTGTTAACAGAGAAGCATGGGAGCGTAGGGAAAGCAGTTCATTCTCATGGGGGAACCAGGGACGGATTCATGCACAGGTGTATTTTTGTTTAATGCCGTGAACTTAGAAAGCTTTTTAAGTAGGGCAGTACATGGGTGTGTGTTTTGGGAACAGGAGCCTGTCACCACTGTGAGAGAGTGGATGGCAGGGAGAGAGACGTGGAAGTTGTCGGCTCTTGGCTAGCACAGGAGTCTAGGGGAGAAATGATGCCTTCCTGACCCGGGAGGCGGGGAGTGGAAGACAGGCGGAGTTGAGAGACGTTAACTGGGATGGAGGAGAGATGCCTTCATAGTTACAGGTGGGAAATCAGGACGAGGAGAGCCAGAAGCGAGGCTGAACTTACAGTCTAGGAGCCCGGTGCTTCTGTGTCTGAGATCAGAGCCACGGAAGCAGTGAGTCTGGAAGGGAAAACGGTTACTTTGGTTGTACCCGTGCTGCATTTCAGATGCTGAGGAAGGGTGGAAATGTAGGCCGATGCCCAGGATAAACAGTCGGCCAGAAGTCTGAAAACCAGACGTCTAGGATATATGTATGTTTTCAGAGAAAGCGTAATACAGTGTTGGCTGATTTTTCTTGCTTCAGAATCAAAGTTAGGCACAAATACTCTACTGTACTCGACCAAGACTGCCAGTCTACTAGGTGTCCATGCTCAGCTAAAAAGCTGGTTTCCCCTCACAGGTGTGCCAAGAGCCCCAGGACCGTTGTCGTCAGCGTTCCGGCGTAGTCAGGGACGAGGTTTATTTCTGTTTTGCTGTGGAGGTGGCATTTCCTTTCAGCTTTCTATGTTCTAAATGAAATTAAACAGTAATTTCCAACTACACGTGTCTGATTTGTTTATGTCATACAGAATTTTCATACATTATCTAAATTGTCTAAATTTTTTTCCTTAGCTACTGCATGCATATTTTAATAGAGCATCTAAGGAACAAAAAGATAAATTTCTGAAGAATCGTGGCTTTTCCTTGCTAGCAAACCAGTTGTATCTTCATCGGGGAACTCAGGAATTGTTAGAATGCTTCATTGAAATGTTCTTTGGCCGACGCATTGGCCTTGATGAAGAGTAAGTGGGTCCTTCCATCCATCATAATTTGGGATCCTTTGTCTTAAATGTAAAATTTATTAAACTGACTGCTAACAAAATTATTTGGTCACTTAAAAAAAATCTGCTGAAAGTCATTTTCTAGGTGAATCAATGTATTATTTTCCATTTGATATTGTTTCTAATATAACTTCTTCCTTTGCATTTCATTCACTAGCTAGGAACTAGAAAGAATTAAGTGAAAGAAGGTGATGGTTAAGATTTGGCATATGGGGAGAAAGGGGTGGGAAGGGGTAAACTGGGAGTTCGGGATTTGCAGATATGAACTACTCTATTTAAAATAGATAAACAACAAGGTCCTACTGGACAGCACAGGGAACTATACTCAATACCTTGTAGAAACCTATACTGAAAAAGAATATGGAAGTGTATGTATGTATATGTATGACTGAAACATGATGCTGTGCACCAGAAATTGACACAACATTGTAAACTGACTATACTTCAATTAAAAAAATTTAATTTAATTAAAAAAAAAGATCTGGCATATAGTGCTAACCTGAGAAGGTTAACTGAAAAGAAAGGTGGCCCCTGTATGCTCAGCAGCAGATTCCATGAGTGGCCCCCAGGGAAGCTCCTCACTCTGATCAGAGCCTCAGGTTGCGGGAGAAGAACCCGTGCCTCCCCTGGGTTTCTGGCGCACTGGTGACTGAGCTTTGACCCTGGTGTAATGCTGAGGGATTAGCCAATACGTACAGAAAATGAAGAATAGTTTTCTCCCAAACCAAAAGTTAGGCAGAAAAGTTAAACTATTATTTCTGTCTATGATGGAGGGGAATGTGTGTCTTTTTATTATTATTAAGTGTCTCCTGCTTATTTGTAAGTGGTCAGCTCCGACCGTGATCAGTTGACTTGTTACCTGCAGCAGTGACACTTTTCATCCACGTACAGCTGTTGCCTCTTTCAAAGCAGCTCTGTGTTATCTCATGTGATTCTCACAACAGCCTCGAGAAGAAGGTAGAGCACTTATCAGCACACATAGTGACAGATGAGGGAAATGAGGTATCAAACACTTGAATGATTTGTTTTTGTCTGCACCTGTCATGTAGACCCCTGAAGCAGGAGTTCTTTGGGCACCTAAGGGGTTCGTGGACAAATTAAAGTGAGTCAATTAAAACCACGAAATTATATGCATGTTTCATTTGAATATTGGCATATTCACCTTGGGACAGTTTTAGCAACATCTTTAATCTTGTTATTGGAAGGGTCTGTGAGCTAAAAAAAAGGTTAAGGATCCTTGCTACCCTAACTTATGTTTCATAGCTTCAAAATCAGGTCAGCCAAACGGCCCATATTGCAATCAGTTTTCTTTATTTCATGGTTAACTGTTCCTAATGTGGTTTTTCACTGTGTGTTATTTATTATAGGTTTGATCTGGAAGATGTGAAAAACATAGAGCTTTTTCAGAAGTGGTCCGTCATCCCTGTGCTGGGGCTGATAGAGACCTCCCTGTATGACAACTTGCTCTTGCATAACGCTCTCCTGCTGCTTCTGCAAATCCTGAATTCTTGCTCCAAGGTGGCGGACATGCTGCTGGATAACGGGCTCCTCTATGTGTTGTGTAACACGGTGGCAGCCCTGAACGGGTTAGAGAAGAAGTAAGTTTTTCATCATTATTGAAAACTGCTTCTGATGAAAACTTTGGAAAGGGGAAAACTTGAGCAGGTTACATGAAAGCGTCTAACGTGTCAGAAAACTCAGAGAATTTCTTTCCTCCAAAACTGATAGAATTAAATTAAATTGAATGAGGGGGGCCTGTTTTCTACTGTTTTCAATAAGGTTTTTCAAAAAGGTGTTTATATGACGTACTTTTAGGTATTTAGGACCTAAAGACAAGCTGAAATGTATTTACCAGGCTCCCACTGTAGTCTTACAAAAATGACCCCCTCCATCAGGAGCAGGAGACTGAGGGTGAGAGAGACCCAGCAGCTTGCTGGTGATCATGCAGCTGGCAGAGACCTGGAGACTGAGTCTGCCTCGCCACAGAGGCCTGTGCTCTGAAGTCATGGTGCTGCCCACGTTCAGCACACGTGTCCTGTTGCCATAAATTAATTTCTAATGACCAAAGTACGTCAGCAAAGACTGCCCTCCAAATTGATTAACAGCTTTATAAAATATGTTAGTAGATTAATATTTTTATTTGAATTTTGTGCCTTTAGTGTCTGCATTTATGATGTACAGCATAGCATTCTTACTGGCATATTGTTAAGACACAAATCTCCAGAAGCATCATCTTACTGCGCATTAAAGCATTAAATGTTTAATACATTTCTGCAGAGAAGACGGATCATAACCTTGGTAATTCTGTGGGCCAAGGAGGCTCTCTGGGTACGAGAGAGGACTCCTTGTACTTATCTCAGTTTAATTTTTATTGGACACCTGTTTTATTTAGGATCTGGGTGCTAGGCATATGAGAAATACAAAGAAGTGCAAAGTATTGTACCTCCTCCAGACGTTTAGCCTTGATTACAGTGCAGGGCGTGATGCTGGCAGAGCTTAGGAGGAGTGCTGCAGGCTGCTCCTGGAAGTGGTTTGTTGCTGTGCTGTTTTGAATAAATTGTGCTTACTCAGTGCCCCTGTGTGCTGCTCTGCTAATCGACTCAAAGCAGTTACCATCTCTAACTCTAACTTGATTTTTTTTTAATTGAGTTATAGTCAGTTTACAATGTTGTGTCAAATTCTAGTGTGGAGCACAATTTTTGTTATACATGAACACACATATATTCATTGTCACATCTTTTTCACTGTGAGCTACCACAAGATCTTGTATATATTTCCCTGTGCTCTACAGTATAATCTTGTTTATCTGTTCTGCATGTGACTGTCAGTATCTACAAATTTCAAATTCCCAACTCTTGCCTGATTTTGGAAAAGTAAATGGAGAGGCTTAATGTCACACACTGAAGTAGATTTTATAAATAAGTTTAAAAATTGAGGGACAGAAGTAACTAATTCATATTTATTAGGTATTTATAAGTGATTAATATATGTTCAAATCTATTATCTCACTTAATCCTTAAAATAACTATAATTTGTGTAAGTGAGACTCAGAGAGGTTGATTGAGTCAAAGTCACCATCCCTGAGAAGCCTTCTCAGAACATCCCTGTTGGTGCCCCCAGAATCTTCCTGTTCAGCATGGCACGAATGCCTGTGCACTCCCTCAGCGTCTTGTGTTCACCTCTTGTTGTTACACTTACGCCGTTTACCATTCACAGTCACCTGGTCACCTGTCGGGCCCTCTGCAAGCCCGGCTGTGACAGGAGTCAAGGGTGTCATCTCATGTCTGCTCCTGGCGTGTGGGTCGGGTGACCCACCATTGAGTACGCAGGATGCACACCAAGGGAACGCGCCGAGGAGCCAGTGCTGGTGGGCAGGAGTTTAGACCAGTTCTTTTCGCCTTACGTTATCTGTCCTTTTTCTGTAGCGTTCCTTCGAATGAACACAGACTGCTGGCTTGTGACATACAGCAGCTCCTCATAGCAGTTACAATCCACGCTTGCAGTTCCTCGGGCTCACAGTATTTTAGAGTTATTGAAGACCTCATTGTACTGCTTGGATATCTTCAAAACAGCAAAAACAAGAGGACACAAAGTAAGATTTAATTTTGATGGATTTGGCGGGTGGGGCGGGGGGAGTTGTATAATAGCCAAAAATGTTATTATTAGAACTTAATCCTCTTTCTCCGGCTTCCGTGTAGAGAGTGGGTTAGAGAGAGAAACTGTTTTACTAAAAGTTCATCCTGTACTTTGTTTACCAGCTTTGAAAAGAAGCCTTAAGTGGCAAAAATAAGACAGTGATTCCTTGATGTAATTAGTAGCTGGCAACACATTATTCAGGGAAGCTGCTGATTTTTTTTACAAGTAGAATCAGAAGACGTTTGCTGAATAATAATACCCTTTAGTTTTCTTTAATGGCAAATATTAAAGTGAATATGGGGCAGAAGAATGTGAGGATTTCTGGTTAAACTTTTGCCTCATATGTTAAAAAGCCTGTTCTTTGAAACAATTACATAGAATGAAATCAATTTGTGAGCTAGTTTTTTCCATTGAATTTTTTGTAGTGATCATTTGGAAATTTGCTTTAGAATTGTTTTTAAGAACAGTTAAATGTTTTTGCCATCAAGGACCCATGTTGATCAAATTTTTTAAAAGTGATGTCTAGTAATAAACTATTGACAATTTAGATATTGCATCAATATAAAAATCAATTCAGTAAAAAAATTAACAACCACATAGCGTGAAAACATTCTAGTGTCTTCTGTTCCTAGATATGGCTGTCGCACTGCAGTTCAGAGTTCTCCAGGCGGCCATGGAGTTTATAAAGACCACCGCCAACCATGACCCTGACAGCCTTGCAGACTCGTGCCAGTCGCCTTCTCCCCACCATGCAGTGTTGCAGAAGCGAAGGAGCATTGCTGGTGAGCACGAAATCACATTTTAATCGTCATAAATTGAAGGTAGCTCGACTCTCCTGTGTTCTGATGCCATTCACATGTTTAAAACATTTCTTTGTTTAAAAAGTCAAACTATAAAATCTGAGATTTTCCTCCCGGAGGAGACTGTCCTGCTGCTCTCTTTTCAGTGCTCTTCTCAGTCAGCTCTCTGCCGAGCACCCGCCCTGTGCCGAGCACTGCGGTAAGTGCTGAGGGTACAATGATGAAAATAAAGACGCGGGTTCTGGCCTTGCAGAGACCATGAAATGGCAGAGAAATGTGGAGAGCAGGAACAGAGAGCAGAACGGGGCAACCTGACCCACACCTGGAGTTAGGAAGGAGATTTCAGCACAGGCACGAGGGGGAGATGGGAGGTAGCCCGAGTCAGAGGAAGAGTGTTTCAGGCGGGGTGAACAGCTCGTGTGTGGGCCCCGAGGCAGGAGAATGCTACGCTTGCTCAGAGAACGGGAAGAAAGCCACTTGGCCAGAGCGCAGGGCTCCGTGAGACAGGGAGGCCGGCTGAGGCTGCACAGGATGGCACGGACCGGTTCACGTGCGGTCAGAGAGGCCGCGTTAGGGAGTGTGGGTTTTATCCCAATGGGAAGGTGCCAAAGGTCTTTAAGTAGGCAGCGTGACATACCCAGATTTTCATTTTACACAGACCGCTGTGGTTTCTGCATAGAGAGTGGATTGGAGGAGGGTGGGAAGGGTAGTGGGAAGTGCAGGGAGGAGGCTGCTGCGACAGTGAAGGCAGAGGTGACAGTGGCTCGGGTCAGGTTAGAATGCACGTGACATTAGGGCTTGCTGTAAATTAGGACTTATCATCAAGTAATAATCACTAATATTGTTAGGCTTACTTATTTTTTCCACAAAATCCACTCTGACCCTTATACACACAATCCAGGAATATAGCATAAATCCTGCCCCCCAAATACACATTGGCTGTGTACACACATGTACATGTAAATATGGTGGATATATGTGTACGCACTCGCACACGCACACACACACATCTCCAAACAGAATACTTGGTAAATAGAAGTTTAATCACCCTTGCAGTCTTAAGGCCTTTTGAGTCAAGATCTTTCCTCTACCTGTGCTGAACTATGTCACTGTGTTTTGTGCTGTTCCAAATTTGAAAGCCATGAGAAACACTCATCTGGAGAGAAAAGCTGTTAAATATACATGGTCTCACAGGAATATGTTTAGATTATGTGAAAGAAAAGCTTATGTAAATAAAGCTTCTGAAACATCCACATAACCCACTGCCCTGTACCTTCTTCCTTAATTTCTTGCCTGGACACACTCCCTCCTCGTGAGCGCCCCTCCTGGTGGGCCTGCCTTGCCAGGCGGAGTCCGCCTTTCCCCAGGCCTGGCAGCCATGCCCAGCTCCCTGCCTGCCAGGAGGCCGCTTCTGGAACACCTCTCCTTTGCAGGGTTTCTGGATGTGGAAGAGAAGTGGAACGCACCCTTCAGCCCTCTCTCTGAACCTCCTGCCTCTGCTTCCTGACTCCTCGCCCCTCACCCTGGGGCTCATGCTTTTACTCCGTCTCAGGAAATGCAGTCGCTCTGGGCCATAGGAGGCTTATAGACTCCTGCAAGTTTTGAAGTTGATAAAAGACTTTGTAGGTCACCCAGTGCAGCTTCCCATTCCTCAGACGTACTGGGGCCTAGAACTAGACACTGCTGCTGCCCACCCCCTTGCAGCAGCTCGGCGTGTCTCCAGGACCCTCCGTCTCAGGTCTCCTGAGAATTCTTCCTGCCTTGAGTACTGCCTTATTTAAATTCTGTCTTCGTGACTCTGGTTTATAAAACGGAGTGACTTCATGACTCCGTTTCATATATGTTATGCTGTTGCTTGGTAATTCCTCCCGTGTTGTTTTACGCATGTATTTAGGGAAGACTGTGTTTTAATAGCTCACTGTTAGTCAAAAGTTATTGTCGAAAGTGCATTGGCTTTGTGCACTTGATGCGAAGTCCCCAGTGCTGAAGCTCCCTGCTTCTGAGCAGCGTGGTTACCAAACTCATCGGCCCACTTGTTCGTGATGCTGCAGTGACTAAGCGGAGTCTGTTTCTCCATCATTTAGATGGTGAACTGTTCCTTCAAAGATTCAAAACTGGCTGTTCTCATTAGTGATAAATGTTTTTTGAAGGAGGGGGGATGTTTTTTCCTGAATAGAATCACTTAGTTTTTATTGAAAACTGCTGAGACAGGTGGCGTCTCCAAGCCCACAGCCCCCTGGCCCCGCACACCAGGCCCTCTGACCGTAGGCTGTGAACCCGGGACATCGGTGGCATGGGGCCAGGGTTTCTCCAGCAGCACTTCCGTCATATCTAGATGTAAGTTCTCATGCTCTTAGAGGCGTGAGCTGCTGTGTTACCGCCAGCTCAGTCTTCTCTCAGCCTGACTCCTGGGCACCGTTCTGCTCAGAGCTCCAATGGAGCCTCCTACCCGGCGAACAAAGCACCGGTTCCTGTGGGTCCGTGTCTGCCTTTGATGTGGGCGTGTATGAGAGAGAGGACGCTGCCTAGGTAGTGTCGTTTCCAGCCTTCTGTCTGTAGACTGCTTGCTGTTTCCGATCAGTGTGCTGTGGACACTTTTCCATGTAATATATTTTTATAGTGAATGCATAACGATCGGTTACGTTGATTTGCCATGATCTCCCCCCCCCATTATCAATAACAAAGGGGTTTGTTTGTTTGGTTTGTTATTATTACATTGCTATAATGTAAGTTCTTATATACGTATTTTTTCCACTTATCTACCTATCAGTATGAAAACCTTTACATATCACCTTAGTACGCAAAGGAAGAAGTAAGCGTTAGAGTATTATTTAAAGTACTACACGTATGTTTAAACTGTCATAAATAATCATACATGTGCGTGTGCATATGTATACAAATATTGTGTTATTGACATAGTTCACATGCAAATGAATTTCCTTTATATTTCAACCATTAATAGCAATACCAACTGTTAGCTTTTAATTCTTTGTATGAGACAGGCAGTGCTTCACATCCATTATCTTATTTAATCCGCATAAAAAACCTCTTTATCCGTTCATTCAGCTATCAAACATTTATTGAACATCAGCCGTGTACCAGTCATTACCTTATCTGCTCTCATGGAACTTGTGTTTTACTGGAGGAAATGGTCAATAAGCCTGTAAGCATGTGCATTTCCTGTAGCGTCAGATAGTGACAAGTCCCCACCTGTGAGGTGGTCTGCACTTTGCCTTCTAACCCACATCTCACGTGTAAGGAAACTGAGGCTAAACAAGCACCATCCTTCAGGCCACGCCAGCTCAGTGCAGCTCCCAGCTGGCTGCTGGGACGCCCTCCCGCTCTTCCCGGTGCCTGGCGCTGGAGGAGGCCTAACATCTCCTGATCTGGCCTATTGCTGTGTCTCTGAATTGTGACTATCAGCTGCTTATCCAGCATGAAAGCCATCAGAGATGCAGACATTACAAGAATCTTCTTAAACTAAGAGCATAGTCTGATAATATTTTTCTTGAATGTGTCCCAGATATGAAGTTTTTTCTTCCCACTTAGTTCGTTTTTGTCTCCAAGGTGACTCTACCCACCAAAATGTATTAACTGATGAAAAATACAGATTATCTGAAATACTGGGCAATCTGAAATGCTGTTGAAATGTGTGTGTGTATCTTGCAGGGTGAGTCATTACAACCTATCATAATTTAGTCATATGTTAAGTAATATTTATAGAGGCTATTTATGGAAATTGATACATGGTTTCATAATTTTAAAAAGGTTCAATTCCAATGAAGGGCTCCATTATTCCTCACATACCCAGACGTCATTTTGGTTCCTATGGTCAACTTCCGATGCCCTTCTCCTTCAGTCCGTTACACCAAGACTCAGTCCCCTCCATCTCTCCCGGATCCACGACCTGTGTGGTACCTCCCGGCGCAGGTGCAGTCATGGTGCCGGAGCAGCACCCCTACCTCCCCACCGGAGGACACGGTTCTCAGGGAATGCCTCTGTGGGACTGAATTCGTAGGGTGCCTACGTAACAAATCATTTTAATAATGAATTACTGGAATGGTGCTTTCCTTTCTGACCTCTTCACCTTCATTGGACTGATTTCTACTCTGTCACTTACACACTTTTTCAAAACTACTCTACAAAATTCAACAATGTCAATTACCCAGAAGGAATAATGTTCTTACTAAAACATGATGTGCCTTAAAATCTGTTGATTATTCTGGAATACAAGGAAGTGAAACAGTATTTGAAAATATTTTGTCAGAACATTCGAAACTACATACACGTACCCTTCTAAATCTTTGAGTTTTTCAGAAGATTAAAGTTTTGCCAAATGATATCCATCCCATGAAACTGTGTCACAAGCTTCAACATTCGTGCTTAGGACTTGGAAATCAGAAGTACTGTTGCACTTCTTCAGAGAGGGAGAAACATCACTTTCTCTCAATCGCTCTCTTTCCTTTGTATGAATCACCTCTTCTTTTCATGGTCTGATAATCAAAAAGTTACAGCAAAAATAGTTTCCTTCATCCTTCTTAAGTCTGGCATTTGACATTTTAATTCATATTCTCGAAGGTCCTCGAAAATTTCCTCTTGCGCAAACTGACTCTCTTCTGATGAAAATGCGCTCGGTAGCAAGTGATGAACTTCACATGATGATGCAACGGAGGATGAGCCAGGAGAGCCCAGTCCAGGCAACCGAGACGGAGCTTGCCCAGAGGCTGCAGAGGCTCGCCATTTTAGCAGTTAACAGGATAATTTACCAAGGTAGGATAAGAGAATAAATATGTTCTTGCTCAGGTATTGCATTAAAAGAGAAATAATTTAAGAAAGAGCTGACTAGGCTTCAAATTTTTAAACAGCATTATATTTTTATTCTTAGCATACACACTATTACAAGAATTTTTTATTTGGGACTAATAGCCATGAATAAAATTCTGCTTTTTAATATGTTAAATGCTAGATTGAGCATTGAGTTTGAAACAGTACAGCACCTCTGGTATATCTTTTAAGCTTTTATTGAGATAATCATAGATTCACATGCAATTATTAGGAAGTATTACAGAGAAATTCCATGTACCTTGTATCCAGTTTCCTCCAATGGTCCAGTATCACCACAGGGATATTGACACTGATACTGTTGAGAAAAAGAGCATTCCGTCGCCACAGGGATCCTTATGTTACCTCTTACAGCCACACCCACTTCCCGCGATCGCCATTTCTATATTTTCGTCATGTCAAGGATGTTAATAAGTGGAATCATACAGTACGTGGCCTTTTAGGACTGGCCTTTTTCACTCAGCACAATTCTCTGCAGAGTCATGCCCATTCTTGTGTGTGTCAATATTTTGTTCCTTTCTGGCTTTGGTGACTAGTCTTCCATGGTGTGGAGATACCACAGTTTAGCCATTTGCCTGTCGAAAGATGATCTGGGTGTTTTCCAGTTATGGGCTATTACAAGTAAAGCCAGTGCTATAAAAATTCACATGGAAGTTTTTGTGTGAACATAGGTCTTTGCTGTTCTGGGATAAATGTCCAGAAGTGCGGTTTCTGAATTGTATCGTAGTTGTGTGTTTTGTTCTTGTTAAGAAACTGCCAAACTCTTCCAGAGTGGCAGTGTAATTTTACATTCTTGCTGGCAATGTATGAGTGACCCAGTTTTCTTCACATCTTCACCAATATTTGGAATCCTCACTATTTTAAATTTTAGCCGTTCTGACAGTGGAGGGATAGACCATTGTGCTTTTAATTTGTGTTTCTGTAGTAGCTAGTGATTTATATATTTATGTGTAAAATTTGATATCTACAACAACCACTAAAAAGCTGTACAAAGAAATACACTCAAGAGGGGGAGGGTAGAGCTCAGTGGCAGAGTGCATGCCTAGCATGCGTGAGGTCCTGGGTTCCATCCCCAGTCCCTCCGTTAAAAAAATAAACAAACCTAATTACTTGTCATCCCCCCGTCAAAAAAGAAATATACTCAAAAGTGCTACAAATACGTCAAAATTCTAAAAAATGTTCAAATGACCCTAAGAAGGGCAGGAAAAAGTAAAAGATACATGAAAGTTGATCACTAGAAAAATATAATACGTTCAAGGTTTTTTGTTTTTTCTTTTAACTTTTCTAATTTATATTTGGGGCAAACAGGCTAAACTATGAAATTGAACCATTTTTGTTTTGTCTTTTTGGTGGGGGATAGTTAAGCTTGTTTATTTATTCATTCGTCTGTCTGAGGTGCTGGGGATTGAACCCAGGACCTCGTGCATGCTAAGCACACGCTCTGCCTCTGAGCTATATCCTCCCCTGAAGTTGAACCATTTGTATCACATGCAGCATTTAATGGGCTAGCGTGTGCAGTGAAACAGGTCTGCACGTCCATCAAATGTAAATACCACAAGGTTTGTGTTTAATTTGTAGAAGAACCTCATGACTTTAACAGTATTGCAGTTTAATTCATCGTCATTAGGAAAATCAATCTTTAATTTAGAATTGCATGTCTTACGTATGTTTAAATGTCTACGTTGCTTTAGGTGAATTCTGTTGCTCTAGTGTATTGTAGTTTCTACATCTAATGCACCTACCACACATTTACAGGGTGATAACCGAATTAGTAGTTACACAAAATATTTTTTACCAGCATCACTACCATTTGTGATGGCTAGGTCCTGGTGGTTTGACTGAATTTTTTTTTTTAATTCAAAGAGTTTAATCCAGACATTATTGACATTTTGAGTACTCCAGAAAATGCTGCTCAAAGCCAGACCTCAGTTTCCGAGACTGAAATTTCTGAAGAAAATATTCATCATGAACAGCAGCCTTCTGCTGTCAACCCGTTTCAGAAAGAGGTGTTCACCTATCTGGTAGAAGCATTCAAAACATCTACTGTAAGTAAACCAATCACATGGAAGTGCTCATTCACACAGAAAGAGCAGAGGTTCTGTGTGCATCATATGTTTTCAAAATCACTTTTCTACTCTTTCACCCAGTTTTCTGAAACTCAGACAACTTGAATTTTAATAATGGAGTAAAATATGTTGCTACCTTACCTCTTCCAAAAGGGCTCACTTCTTGCAGTGAGTTTTTAAGGCTTTACCCGAAAGCTGTTTTCTAATATTGTGATTTAGTAACTCAGATCAGCATCAGAAAGGAGTAGGAACTCGATGGTGACTATGAGAGTTTAATAACCTGTTTTTTAAAGACTTTATTTAAAGCTACTTACTCTAGAATTATTATTGTTATTACAAATAATTACAAAGTTTAGATCTTGGCTTAAACATACCCAGCTTCTTCAGATTTTCACAGAGAGCACTGACAAGCGTCAGGCTCCGTTTTCCATCCACCCCACTGGGTCTCTGTGGGCCACGCACAGCTGGCCGCAGGGACAGTTGGTCAGCAGGCTCCGTGGAGACCAGAGGCAGCTCTGCTTCCAGCAGAACTCATCGGTCACGACTGGGCCAGGCTCTGACCTAAGCTCGATGTTGTCTGTAGGTTCCACTTAGATCCAGATCACTCATGCAGGGTCCTTAGGACTAGGAGTGACTGGAGAGCCATTTCCGAAACTCAGAATGAACTCTAAAGTGTACTGATTCCGGGTTTTAAACCAGATACAGGATATCTGATCAGGGTTGGGTTAGTCTCAGTGGGGCCGCATTGGAAGCAGCTTGCTTGGTTATTTGTTGGGGGTGTTGATAGTCAGTTTACATGCAGTTCTTAATTCGTGACAGTTATGCTCAGTATTTTAGTCCTAATTCAGATCTTTATTATGGCTTTCTCTTTTATATTGCAAAATCGATGTAGGCTTAGCTACTATTATTTTTTGATGGTTTTTTTCTTTCTTTCTTTCTTTCTTTTTTTTAAAGTTTCCAAGCCCTAAGTAATTTTGTTAAGTGACTTAGGACTTTAGCTTCTTTATCTATTCTTTTTTTTCACTTGTGGCAAAGTATAGGTAACATAAAATTTACTATTTTAACTGTTTTTAAGTATATAAATCAGCAGCGTTAAGTATATTCACGTTGTTGTGCAACCACAACCAGTATCCATCTCCAGAACTTTTTCCATTATCCCAAACTGACACTCTGTACTCTTTCAACCTAAGTCCCCATCAGCCTCTCCCCCAGTGCCTGATAACCACTGTTGTACTTTCTGTCTCTATGAATTTGACTCTCTGGATGCCTCTTATAAGTTACACAATATTTAACATTACTTACCCTTTTTGTGTGTGGCTTATTTCGTTGTTCATTTCAGTGTAATGTTTTCAAGTTCATCCATTCTGAAGCAGAACTTAATTTCTTTTCAAGGCTCAACAATATTCTATTCTATGTATATACCACATTTTGTTTATCCATTCATCCAGCAGTGGATATTTGGATTGTTTCTATGTTTTGGCTATTTTGAACAATGCTGCTATAAATAAACATCCATGTCTGTCTGCCTCTTTCAAACTCCCATTTGTGTAAAACATATTCCTTGATTTTTAGGGCTGTGTTGATGTTAGTTTATTGTTACTTAAGAGGTTTGATCCTAATTCATTCCTGTTTTGATTTAAGGGTTCAAGTAAAACCAGTGGTCCCAGACAGCAGTGGGCTAAACTCCTGGGCTCCTGCAAGGAGACCTTCCGAATGCAGCTCGGGAGGCTGCTGGTGCATATCTTGTCGCCAGCACACCCCTCACAAGAGAGAAAACAAATTTTTGAAATAGTTCGTGAACCAAATCATCAGGAAATACTACGAGACTGTCTTAGTCCATCCCTGCAAGTAAGTGTCAGTGCTTCATAAGTAAAAACTATTGGTCAGACATAAAGGTCAGACATAAAGCTGTACAAAACAAGGACTGAAATTAAACTGCTTTTTCTTGCCAAATGCCTTACCAGACAAATACTTTCTGAATCTTTCTTTACCGAACTCAATCTGACCTCTCTGTTTATTTCCCATTCCTTTTCCCAGTAAGAAGTTCTGCATCTGAGCTGGTGTAAGATCCTTTGCAATTTGTTCCTAAATCTTGAAGTGTTTTCTTTAAGAGCTGTGGGGAGACTGTTTTAAGCAGTGTATTATCCATGAGACATCTGTCCTGAGTAGCTTAAACAGCAGTACGTGTAACATACTTCAAAAATGTTTACAGTAAGTTAATACAGAAAAATATGTGTTGGTCATTGGGAATGATAAAACCAAAATACTCAAAGAATTACAGAGTCTATAAATCCTGTCACTTAATGAGTGATAGGTGGCGGATTTAAATGATACAACCAGTTTAGACGGCTGTTTAGCAGTTTCTTATAAAATTAAACATACCCCTAACCTGTGACCCTAAAATTCCATTTTTGGGTATTTACCTAAGAGAAATTAAAACATATGGCCATGAAAAGATTGGTACAAGAATATCCATGGTAGCCTTTTTACTAACAGCCAAAAGCCGGAAATGACCTGAATGTCTGTCAGTGGGACAATGTATAACTAAGTTGTGATGTATTTACACAGTGGACTATTACACAGCAATAAAAAGGAACAGACTACAGACTACTGCTACACCTGCCAGTAAGGGTGAAGCTCAGAATCATGGTGTTGGCAAAAGGGTACATGTTGTGTGGTTCCAGTCACAGGAAGCCCGAGGACAGGCAAAGTGGAGATGTGGTCAATTCAGGACAGGAGCTGTCCCTGCGAGGAGTGGGGGCAGTGAGAAGGGGAGCTGACCAGAAAAGGGGGCACAGACAGATTTCATGGGGTGATAAAAATGTGCTGTGCCTTACTCTGGGTGGTGGTTACATGGGTGTATGCAGTTGTCAAAACCCATAGAAATGAACACTTTAACATCTGTGTGCTGTACTGAATGTAAATTACGCCCCTGTAAATAAAGTAGTAAATGATGCCGAAGGAAGGACAGATGGCCCTGTTATATCCCCGGGAAACTCAGATGGATCGTATTAGGAACCAAAAGGTGATAGTTCTAAAGTAGTACTTTTAGGTGCTCTTTCCAGTATTAAGACTCTCTCCAGTGGGCTGAGAGCGTTGTCTTCCCTTTTCCAAGGCAGGAGCGTGTCTCGCCCCGTAGCTTCCTTCTGTGGACAGTTCAAAGAGGTGTTCTTTCGTTGCTTTATACTCAGCAAAGCTGCCGTCCTTCGAAACCCAACCCCGATGTCTGCAGCCGCTTGCCCTCCCCACTACCCTCTCCGCCTGCCCATCTCCACCTGCTTTCTGCTGGAAGCGTCGGAACCAGGGGTGACTCCTGTCTCTGCAGTCCACGTCATCCCTAAGGCCAGACATTTGTCCGGCGCCGTCGTCCCTTGCAGTCTGCCCACCTGTCCTCATTCAGACTTTCAGCCCTTGTGCCTGGATCACTGCACCACCTCCTCTCCACCTCCAGACCACCAGATTACTGTGTCCGATTTTCTTAAGTGTATTCTGGCAGCATTCAAACTTACCTAAACCTTGGGAGCAATCAGAGAAGAGAGCCGCACATGACTATTGCCCAGCTTTAATTGTTCTTTGTGGTGTTTTGAAACAAATGTCAAGGAGCAAATCATTCTACCTGTGAATACTTCAGTAGGTACCTCTGACTGACAGGACTTTTTTTAAACTTACGACAGTCAGTGATGGTAATATAATTCCTTGTGATCATCTCATCCCCACTGTCTAATTTTTCCCAGTTTTGTCATAATTGTTTTAACAGTTCTCCTGATTCTGGGTCCCGACAAGGCCCACGCACTGCCGTGTGTGGTGTGTGCCACGTCTTCTTAACTCTGACACCCTCCCAACCACTTTTTTTTTAACGTCCTTTACTTGTTGGTGAAACTGGGCCCTTTGTTCTGTAGAACTTCCCACACTCTGGATCTGGCTGATTGCGTTCCTGTGGCTCTAGTTCTAGAGGCTGGACTAGGTCCCAGTTCTCGATTTCATGATCGGCTGAGGGGTGCTTTGCACCTTCCGTGACATCATGGCAGGAGGCAGAGCACGTCTGGCTGCTTGCTTTTTGTGGCATCAGCCTGATTCAGCCACTGTAGAGCTCGCCCTCAGTCCCTCACCTAGTAGCTGGAGCAGCCAAGATGCACGTTTTCATTAGGAGACGCCAAGTAGTGATTTCTCCACGTTTCTCGTTCCACCAGCGTCTGTCAGCTCCGATTGTCCCGCAGGGAAGGCCGCTCCCTTCTCAGCTATTTGGCTGCCCCGCAGTGTGGTCTGCGCAGGAAAGGCAAGGTCGATGCTGTGTCTGCTCCTCTGTTTATTTTTAGAATAATGAGTTAGTGCCCTGGCAACCTCTAATTTTTGTATTTGTTTTTATTTTTGAAGTGTGGGCACAAACTCAGGTATTTTTTTATAAATGTTGTGAGTAGTTTCAAACCGTTGCAGTTGTTTTTCTGACGGATTCAGATTAACGCCTCTGTAGATTCAAGTTGTTACATCCTTTTAACACGGCCTTTCAAATTTTTAGCAAGTCAGTGTGATTAACTTCTTTCTTTTCTGGAGCAGAAGAATGTCCCAGGCTCGCCTTGGACATTTCCTTCCCCAGAGGGGCCCCAAACCTTGCCCCCAAGGAGCCCCTGTTCCCTTGCACGGAGGTGATAGCATGCAGAGACCACAAATCCCGGGTTAGGCGCGTCCGTTTCTGTGGGGCTGCCGCTTCTGCTCGGCCTGTTTAGGGGACAAGCTAGGGAATGTGTTTTTTAGAAAAAGAAACAAAGCATGAGTTCATACTGCTACTTTCACTTTTTCTTGGATTTTTATGTTTATATTTCTTCTTATTCATGTTGTTCATCTTAATTCCTGATGACATTAACATAATTAATTACTTGCTCTATCTATCTATAAAACATTTTCAAAATAAGATGACAACATTATCACTTGTAACAAGCCTACTGACTGCAGTTTAAGATTTCTCTGTGGTTCTTTTGCCTTTGGGATGCCATTATGAGTGCACCGTGAGAACACTCCATTGTAAGAGCACTTGAAATAGCTTTCTCTATTTGGTTAGGCCACCAACTGGCCATCAGCTAACTGGTTAGGTTCTTTTTTGGGGTTTTTTTTTCAGTTATCTTTCTGTTTTTAGAGATTCCATTGGGTTTTTAATTTGGGTTTTTTAATACTGTTTTTAATTGTGTAAAATATCTGCCTGCTTCCAAAATCAAAATAATGAAACACAGATGTTCAGAGAAGTCCTGTCTTCTGTACTCTCCCCTCAGTCTTTCCCTTTCTCTGTAGGTGACCATCTTTACTGGGCTTTTATTTCTTTTGGAGATACAAGCACATCTGTGTACACACACACACACGCACACACACAGAGTGTATGTATTATCTCCTTCACTTCTTCATACGAATGAAGTGAATACTCGTGCTCTTGCTCACTTTACTTTCTTCGGGAAACAGCACATCTGGCGATCGCTCTGCAGCGGTGCAGAGGGGTCTTCTCACGCCTTTCACAGCTGCCTGCGCGCTGTATCCCACTTGTAACCTGCCTGATTTTTAAAGCCTCGAGCTTTTCTTCTGTAAGTTCAGTCTGAGGAATCCTCCAGCTGTAGCTCCTCCTCTTCTCAAAACAGTCTTGTCCTCATCTATGGTGGCCTCTTCCCCAGCAGCGTCCTGCTGACTGGCCGCTGTGTCACAGTGTCCGCCCAGCACACAGTGCCTTCTGTCCTGCCCTTTGTCTGTCTGGGCCCCCATCGATCCACGTAGCCACACACCAGCTCACACTGGACCGCCTTCAGAGCCTTCCTCCTTGTCTGTAGTCCACTCGGAATGCTTGCTTCTTAGAAACTTCATAGAAAATTTTACTTTTACACATTGCAACATTTTACTCTTTTCTAAGGATATGTGTTTAATAGATTCAATTCAGTTTTTTGAGAGCTGAAAACAAGACTATGTGTCTCTAATAACACCTTTTCTAGGCCTAGGAACTACAGTCAATAAATGATTGATCAGAGGATGTTAAAATGAGATATTAGAAACAACTTCAGTGTCTAAGAAGATCATGCATTTCTTTGGATATTCAGAATAAATAAAAATGTTTCTGGTAGTTTTTTAAGACGACTTGAAAATGTCACTGAAAGCTGAACTGAAGTATTTTTGGAGTTATATCAAGAACATCACCTCTGAGACACGCACTGAAAATACTGCAGTCACTCACCACTGCTCTTTGCTTGCCGCTCCTCGGGCCTCTGACCTGCAGAGCACCTGCTCATTCTTCTCATTTGCTTGGCGGCAGCTGTCCCCTGACTGATTCAAATGCTGCATTAAAAGGACCTTTGCTATTTTCAGCATTGCATGTGTTCATCTTATACCTTGGGTAAAGACATGATGTGATTCAGCATGCTAATTTAAATGTCACCCAAAATGCAATAGTGTCCAAACCCAGTTGTTGACTATTCACAGCTTAAAATATCCTAAAGCCAAATGCAGTGACATTTGTATGGATGCAGATTTTTAAAAGGCAAAATTACGCATGTTTAACTTGTTGGCAAAGTTGATGTCTAAATAATATATAGTGTACACGTAACGTTCGGATGTAATGTCTGGCATGAAAGGGCTACTTAAAAGTCATGAATGGGGAGGGCAGAGCTCAGTGGTGGAGCACGTGCTTACCATGCACGAGGTCCTGGGTGCAATCCCCAGTATCAACAAATACATACATACATACCTAATTACCCCCCAAACAATTTTTTTAATAAAATTTTAAAAACTTTTTTAAATTATGAATCAAAGTTCAGTTTACATTTACACTGTGCAGGAAAACTGTCATTTCCTTAAGTAACACTCTAATTCCATTTATAGGGTCCGTTCATGAAAGATTGGCTCAAATCAAACCTTCTCTGGACACGCACAAAATTGAGTGCTGACACCTTACTGGTTTAGAGTTTGTCGCCATTAGTGCTCCCTGGGGAGTAGGGGGTGCTTACAAACTAATCCACACACGGACCCAAAGATGCATTTTTGTTCTAGAATTGTCCCCAGTGCCTGTTGTGCCAAGAGAAAGAATAAATGTGCATGATTCTTTTGTTCTTTTACTTCTGGGTTTAAAGGAAGGTTTCCTTTCCAGGTCAGCGTTGCCCTGAGAAGAGCCGTGGAACTTACTCATTTTCTGTATTCCCTTAGTGAGTCCTCTCCAGAATTCTTCCCCAGAAAGCTGTGTGCTTGCTTTCTTCCTTCTTTCCTTCCCCCTTTTCCTCCCTCCCTCTCTCTCTCCTTTCTTCCTTCCTTCTTTCCTTTCTTTCTTTTCCTCTTTTTTCCTTTTTTTTTACCTTTTACAATGAAAGTTTTCAAACATACTAAGAAGAATAAAATAGTGAATACCATATGAATGCCATATAACCATCACCAGAATCTCAGTTGTTGGTACTTTTATCACATTGGCATCGCTTCTTTTTTTCTGAAGCATTTCAAAGTAAATGTAGAAATCATGCCTTTTTCAAAAGACGTTTTCTTGCATAACCATAACAGCATTATTGTACCTAACAACACTAGCCCACACCTTAATGTCATCGTATGCCCAGTGCATAACTGTGTGACAGCTTCTTCAGTTTTCCCCAAAATGTCTTTTTTAGCTGATTTATTTAAACCAGATCCAACCAAATAAATCTAGCAG